TCAAGATGGCTGAGCTGGGGCTGACCCAGGCGGCCGACGTTCTCTTGCGGCATGGGGCCAATCTCAACTTTGAAGGTCAGCGAGAGCCCCGGGGGTGGGCAGGCGACTTAAACGTGGCTCTGCGCTGGGTGGGCGTCCATGTCCCCAGCCTTGGCTTTTACCATCCTCTGAGGAGTGACTTCCCCCCCTTTATTTCCTGGGTGGCTGTGACTAAGGAATCTCCCATTGGGTGGCCTCCCAAATCCTGCGGGTTTTCACATGGCTCTCCCCACCTCTGTTCCAAGGGCGGGCGAGTGTGGCTGCTTCTACCATGTGATTGATTAGCAAACTTTCCCCAGCTCCCAGAGTAATCCCCACTTCCATTAATGCGAAAATGCAGCTACTGGCATTGTGCCCAGAGCTAAGGGAAGGTAATTTTCTGCCACTTACTCTGAGCCAATTTGTGTTTTTTTCCTCATGCCATAGGGAGAGGGGAAAACAGGCCGCATTAGGCATAAATCACCACAGAACACGCTGGCTTCCAGCTCCTGAGTGCGAGGGATGGAGATGGAGTCACGCTCCTTTCTCTCTGTTTTTCGCCCCAGGGAGGGCAGGGTTAGTAGGGAGACAGGCAGGGCTGCCTTGTGACCTAATGGGGGCCTGAGACAGCCAGGCATGTCTCCTTTCCCCATCCAAAGACAGGCTTGGAGGCTGCTGGGCTCCTGGAGGGTCAAGGAGCTGAGACGGGAGGGCCAGTTCTGAAGCCAGTGACTTGGAGACCAGCTTGGAGAACCTGGCTGTTACCACCAGGCCTACAGAGCGGAGCAGCCCTGGAGTTGCTGCGTAGTGCGGCCTCCCAGCCATTCTGAGAGTGCGCGCCCCATTTTATGGTCCCTTCTTACAGAAGAGGAAATTAAAGCCCCAACAGCTTCAGTAGTGTGCCCACTAGAACACCCCGAGGGCCCTCTAGTATCTGGTGAGGACAGCTCTGTCCTAACCCTTGATGGTGACAGGAGGCTGGGCCTCTGCTTCTGGACACTTTAGGTGGGAGTTTGGGGCTGGGCTCTGGGTCCAGGGGCCCCATGAGAATGTGGATAGGCAGGACCCACACGAGCTGCGTCTGTGCCTTCAGACCCAGTCACCTACTACACGGCCTTGCACATCGCTGTCCTGCGGAACCAGCCAGACATGGTGGAGCTGCTGGTGCATCATGGCGCCGACATTAATCGGAGGGACCGGGTAAGTGCCAGGTCCAGCTTGTTTTGAAGCAGGGTTGGGCAGGGGCCTGAGCAGCTTCCCAAGCCAACCTGGCTGTGCTTGCTTGGCTCAGATCCACGAGAGTAGCCCCTTGGACCTGGCCAGCGAGGAGCCTGAGCGCCTGCCCTGCCTGCAGCGCCTCTTGGATCTTGGAGCTGACGTCAATGCCGCTGACAAGCATGGTGGGTGCCTCCTGCAGGAAAGCAGGACAGCTGGGCCCCCGGGGAAGCATTGGGGGGACACCCAGGGTGCCCCAGGACAACAGCTAGGTGGGCTGACTGGATGCTGGCCCTGGCTGGTGGCACAGCATGGCTGGGCACACAGGGATTCTGCTGACTTGCTGAGCTCAGAGGCTTTAGAGAGACAGTGCAGTCATTGTCCCCGTGCTGGCCCTCAAGGGCCTTCCATAGGAAGAAATAGGGCACGTATGCACTCAGCTTCCAAGAAACAATGGCTTCCCATTGGGAGAGGCTTAGCCAACATTTGAGGTAGCATCCTGGGATCCAGAGAAATCCTACTTTTCTGCTGGGGGCCTTTCTGCTCCCAGTTCTCTGGGTGGAAAGGGAATGACCAGAAGCCCATCCCCCTCAGCCCTCACCCGAGCTGAGAGCTGTCTCTGAAAGTTCATCTTCTGATCCTGAGTGTCTGGATTTCTGCCACCTCCTCTGGGTTGCCCTGACCTGGGCTTCCTGGCCTCCTGCTCCTCCTCGCTCTCCCTCCCTCCCTAGGAAAGACTGCTCTGCTCCATGCTCTGGCCAGCAGCGATGGGGTACAGATCCACAATACTGAGAACATCCGGCTCCTGCTGGAAGGAGGTGAGGCTGGCGCGCTCCTAGGCCTTGTCCTCTCACCCGCCCCTTCAATGTGTGCCGTTGCTTTGCGGGGGTTGAAGACCTTCTCCCAGTGTCTCTTGTTCTATGGCTCTTCTAGGGGCAGACGTCAAGGCCACCACCAAGGATGGGGACACAGTGTTCACCTGCATCATCTTCCTACTTGGTGAGACCGTGGGAGGGGACAAAGAGGAGGCCCAGATGATCAACCGCTTCTGCTTCCAAGTCACACGGCTGCTGCTGGCGCATGGGGCCGACCCCAGCGAGTGCCCGGCCCACGAGTCCCTCACCCACATCTGCCTCAAGAGCTTTAAACTGCATTTCCCTCTCCTGCGCTTCCTGCTGGAGTCCGGAGCCGCCTACAACTGCTCCCTGCATGGCGCGTCCTGCTGGTCTGGCTTTCACATCGTCTTTGAGAGGCTCTGTTCCCACCCAGGCTGCACAGAAGACGAGAGCCATGCGGACCTCCTGCGCAAAGCCGAGACCGTCCTGGATCTCATGGTGACCAACTCTCAGAAACTCCAGCTGCCTGAAAACTTCGATATCCACCCTGTGGGCAGCCTGGCGGAAAAGATCCAGGCCCTCCACTTCTCCTTGAGGCAGCTGGAGAGCTATCCCCCGCCCCTCAAGCACCTGTGCCGTGTGTCCATCCGGCTCTACCTTCAGCCGTGGCCTGTGGATGTGAAGGTCAAAGCCCTGCCTCTGCCTGACAGGCTGAAGTGGTACCTCCTTAGTGAGCACAGTGGCTCCATGGAAGATGACATCTGACGGGTCTCAGGCTACAGGAACAGGGGACATGGGCAGCTTAGGTCAGCCTGTTGGTAGAATCTGGGACAGCCTTAGAGGAGGGTCTTTTCGATCTGGGAGATGAGACGGGATCGTTCATGAGAAAAGCCAGCCAGGTAGAGCCTGAAGCTGTGATCACTCCAGTGGTGAAGGGTGTGGCTCTGTGTCTTCCAGAGAGACTGCTCTCTTCCCTCCAGCAGCACTCCAAGTCCCACCCATGTGGGACAAAGGAACAGGGCTTGGACTGAAGTCATGTTTATACCCTCTGAATTGGAGGGCAGTGCCAGGGCATTTACAGAAGCTGGGAAGGACCAAGCCTCAACATCCCCAGGGCTGCGGGGGTCTTGTTTGCCGCACGTGGCAGTATAGCTGGGAAGCCTGGGGCGTGTCCTGTGTGGTGCCAAGGCCCCACCCCTGCCCCTTTTCCTTCCAGGTTGTTGCAGCATTGTTTCTGGTGGGCTCGGGGGGAGGAGACACTAAGGGCCCCACGGGCTTGTCTTCATGGTGTTGCAAGCCAAGCTGGCCCCTGCCTGTTCCTGTAGCTTTGGGGCCAGGTCAGCCGTGGCCCCACCTACCAGAACTGTGCTCTGCTGGCAGCTGTGCTTGTGCCAAACCCAGGGCCTCAGCGACCATGACTTCTGCTAAAAAGCAATCATGAGTGCGCGGCTGGGGACAGACCTCTCTGTTGTCTCCTGTTGAGGGGCTCTCTTTGGAGCAACCTAAGAGCCGACTGTACCACCCAACTGTGAGCCCTCAGTCCCTTCCAGGTTGCATCGGTCATTGTGAATTGTGGAAACACCTCTGGGGATAAGCTGAGGTGACTAAATGATATATTTATAAGATTAAACTGACTTTCTTGGCCTTAACGGTCCTTGTATAAAATTTCTGCCCCGCCCCTCCACAGTTCAGGATAGAGGCTCCCACAGCAGCTGGTAAGGAAGGGGGTGGCAGGTGTGAGGAGATGCTGTGTTTGGGGGATTGTTTCCAAGTCCCTGCAAAGAAGCACCACTCTAGACTAGCGAGGTCCTCCACAGTGTTGAGGTCCCATTTTATTATTATTTTTTTCGAGACAGTCTGTCACCCAGGTTGGAGTGCAATGGTGCCATCTCGGCTCACTGGGACTTCTGCCTCCCAGGTTCAAGCAGTTCTCCTGCCTCAGCCTCCTGAGTAGCTGGCATTACAGGTGCCCGCCACCATGCCTGACTGATTTTTGTATTTTAGTAGAGATGGGGTTTCGCCATGTTGGCCAGGCTGGTCTCAAATTCGTGACTTCAGGTGATTCACCTGCCTCGGCCTTCCAAAGTGCTGGGATTACAAAGGCATGAGCCACTGTGCCCGGCTCCCATTTTATTTTATTTTAATTTTTTGGGATGGAGTCTCACTCTGTCACCTAGGCTGCAGTGCAGTGGCGCAGTGTCAGCTCACTGCAAGCTCCGCCTCCCGGGTTCACACCATTCTCCTGCCTCAGCCTCCCAAGTAGCTAGCTGGGACTACAGGTGCCCACCACCACACCTGGCTTTTTTTTTTTTGTATTTTTAGTAGAGACGGGGTTTCACCGTGTTAGCCAGGATGGTCTCAATCTCCTGACCTCGTGATCTGCCCGCCTCAGCCTCCCAAAGCGCTGGGATTACAGGCGTGAGCCACCGCGCCCGCCCCATTTTAATTTTTACTTTAATGCCTGCCAAGGAGCAGCCTCAAGCCCAGAGAAGAACAAGGCTTCAGGGAGCTTCCCTGCTGCAGGCTGTTGTCACACTTTAAGGGTCCCAGGCTTCCACTGCCAAGCAGGACTTGGCACGTGAGCACCCCCAACCACAGCACCATCAGGCAGCACCCATGGGTTCCACTAGCCCAGCTCTGTCCCTCCCCTAGGTAAAGACTACACTGAAGTCTTCAAGTTCCCAACAACCAGGTTGGGGGTGGTTTCCTTCCTCTTCAGGCAGCCAGGCCCATGGCTGGAAGGCTAGGCTGGAGGCCCGGGGAATCGGCTACTGATGTGACCACCGTATTCCCACATGGGGAGCCCTGGAGCCCCTTCTATCCAATCCCATCTCACAGGGCAGCAGGGCCTGGGCTCCTGCCTCACCGCTGGTTCGGCAGCACCCTCCCCCCACCGGGTCCCACCTTGCCTTTTGAAGAAGAATCCGCATAATGAGTGGACGGCAGACAGCTATATTTAGTGGTGCCTCAACACTCACGAACCGCCAGCGTGGCGCCTGGATCTTGCCCAGCTGCCAGCTCCCCCCACCCGGACTGTGGTTCCTCAGTTTCTCCTGCCAGCCCTGGCTCATCTCAGGGCAAAGCTATAGACGTGGTAGATCTCGTCGGGGAGGTTCTCCTGCCTCTCCTCAGCCAGGAGGCTGAGGCCTGCGCTGCAGATGATCCTGCGGACCACATCAAGGTCCCGGCACACACTGCTGTCCACGTCATCCAGAATCACGCCCTCCTGGGCCATGTTGTCTTTGATGACGATGATACCGTTGGGGCGGAGGCTGCCCTTGCAGCGCCGCAGGAACTCGGCCAGGTGCTGATCGGTGAGGTGGCCTGGGGAGGGCAGAAGCAAGGTTACCAGTGCACAATGCAAGGGGATGCTGGCCACCAGATGGGATGTATTTCTCAGCCCTGCTGAGCCCTTCATTTGTGCCCAGCATTTTGTGTGGCATTTAGTAAATCCCGACAGATTTACTAAACCCCATTTCATAGAAGAGGAAACTGTGGCTCAGAGATCTTCTACCTAAAGACACATTAAGCCAGAATTTAACTTGACGGGGTGACTTCCAAGTCCTGCCTGATACCTACACACCATGATGCCCCCCCTGCCAGGCTTGGATCAGAGGAGTGAACCTGGGCTAAGAGTTTGGCATTGCAGGAGCTTCTGGACAGACTGCCTTCCCTACACTAGAAGTCCCCACAGAGGCTTCTGAGACCACAAAATACAAGGCCAGACCTAGCGTGTCCACAGCAGGCCTGTGCTGCCCACCTCAGGAGGTGGCCAACTGCTGCTAGTGGCCTGCCACCAGGTCAGCAGCCCAGGGCACAGCGCCTGAGGTGTACTGTTAGGCTAAGAGGATGCAGGGCTAGACACAAAGCTTAAACTTTTCATCTTATTAAAAATAAAACCCTTATAAAACTCTCACTTCGAATGCAGTAAGTTATTGGCCATTAAAATTTAACAAAAAACGGCACCCAAATGGATGGTAGCAGGTATTCAACTGAAACAAAACCTGGAGGAAACCTACCTCTTAGGCTGAGCCCGCCCCTCAGTCCTGGGAAGCACGGGGTGGGCGTGGGCATGGGCGTGGGGGGATTGGAGAATCCTCACTGGCTTACTTGCTACAGGAGCGCAAAGCCCTAGTGCTGACACCTTATGGGGAACCCGAGTGGCTGGAGACATACAGGTGGGCAGGGAAGGGCGGCAGGACCCTCACCTATCACCCACTGGATCCAGATGACGTCGTAAGAGTCCGGCTCTGGGGTGAAGTCCTGGAGCCCACAACAGAAGTAGTTCCTCACCCTCTTGCCCTCCTCCCCCAGGTAGGTCTTGGCTTGAACCAGGAAGTCCTCCGTTATGTCGACCATATCCACCTCTCTAAACAGCGGCAGGAGCAGCCGCTTGGTGATCCTCCCAATGCCAGCTCCACAGTCCAGGGCACAGGACGTTCCTGTCTTGTTCGGGCCTTCCTGAAAAGCAGAGGCATGTAACCTATCAGAGAGACCCTGTCACTGCACATGGGGGCCCTTCCTTATGAGCCCTGGGACTTAGACTCAAGTCAGGATTCCAGGACTCTGCACAAGCTGAGCACTGGTGGAGAGGTCTGTGCTGGCTGCCAGCTTGTACAGAGTCCTGATTCAAGGGGATAAGCGTGGAAGGACACCCTGCTGGGCCACATATTCCTTTATTTTTGAAAGTTTTTGTAGAGACAGGATCTCATTCTGTTGTCCAGGCTAGAATGCAGTAGTGGGATCACGGCTCACTGTAGCCTCGGACCCCTGGGCTCAAGCCATCCTCCATCTTCCCGCCTCAGCCTCCCAAGTAGCTGGGACTACAGGCATGTGCCACCATGCCCAACTCTTTATTTTTATTTATTTTTTGTAGAGACAGGGCCTCAGTCTGTTGCCCAGGCTGGTCTCAAATTCCTGGGCTCAAGCAGTCCTCCCACCTTGAAATCCCAAAGAGCTGGGATTACAGGAGTGAGCCGCTGCCCCAGCCCTGGGCCACACATTTCTAAAATGAAAGCTAATTTCTACTTAAAGGTGATAACTTGAACAGGTATACTAATCTCTCCTGAGTCTCCAGGTAAACAACGGCAGAGAGGAGCGGGGAGGATGGAAGTAGGACAATGGGTGAACGAGGGTGCGGAGAGGGAACGTGGAGGGAGGGGAGGCGCTGGATGGAGCAGGTGGCCAACAGCAGCCTCCAGTGCCAGCCATGAGAGACAAGAAGGTGGGGGGCTCCAGGCCCAGGGGTCCCAGCCTAGTACAGAAAAGGCTGGGGGTGGAGCAGGGGGTAGAAACCATAGCATGTAACTAGGAGTTTTCATCCAGAATGGCCAACACCCTTAGCCCAAACACCCATGGGCATGGTAGGAGAGCAAGGGTTTTGTCCCTGGCAAAACCCAACAGTTGAAGAGAAGTTTGCCCAATTCGGGCACCTCAGTTCTGCCTAACAGCCAGCTCCTGTCTGGTAACCTTGAGGCTAAGTCCACAATCTAGAAGTTACCCCACTGTGCCCACCCAGCCCAGCTCCTCAAGGCTTTGGGGTAGGTACCAAGAGACAGCCAACGACCCTGCAGTGTTACATGTAAAAGGTGGCACCCCACATGGACTTGGCAGTGCCACCAGAGCCACAGCCTCTCCTGGAGAGCACGCCAGACCTGCCTACCCTCAAAAACCTCTGCAGAAACTTCCGGGAGCTGTTGATGTCGATGCTGGAGATGTGGCCATACCCCCCAAGCATGCCGTCCACCGTGGGTGGGATTTGTTTCCAGTAGGTCTTGGCCTTGGAATAGAATTGCTTCTCGTCTTCTATCACCTCGCTCGTCATGCTGTCACCAACCACGGCTCTGCTCAAGCACCACGATCAGCACCCGCAACTCTCCTGGGTAAGGAAGGGGGTGTGAGTCAGCGGGCCAGGGACCTGGCACAAAGGCCCCCGGGGCAGAAGGCCAGTCTCACACCAGGCTTCACAAGTCACACATGCTGCTGAGTGCAGAGGGAAGTCCAGGGTCCCCAAATCTGCTTCTACCCCTTGGATAACAGCATCTTCTGTCTTTTGCACTCAGAGCACACGCCCCAAGTCCTAGCTTCACGTTCTTTTACATTTTCATTTTTTCTGGAGTGCAGTGGTGTGATCATAGCTCAATGCAGCCTCCAACTCCAGAGCTCAAGAGACCCTCCCAACTCACCCTCCAGAGCAGCTAGGACTACAGTTATGTGCCACCATGCCTGGCTAATTATTTTTTGTAGAGATGGGGTCTCACTACATTATAAAGGTTGGTCTTGAACTCCTGACCTCAAGAGATTCTCCCACCTTGGCCTCCCAAAGTGCTGGGATTACAGGTGTGAGCCACTGTGCCTGGACTGGCTTCAAGTTCTTGACATGCTTTATATGACACCTGACGCAGTGGCTTCTGGGCACAGAAAAACCTGATCAATAAAGAGAAAAGACTGCAAAGCAGAGAGCACCAGCAGACCCTGGAGGGCCAGGGAAGTTTCCACGCCTCCCTTCCTCTGGCTCAGAGCACAGCAACAACTCACGGTGGGGTCCAGTCCTCTGTTAATGAGGAGTGGGGACTCTGTGCCAGGCACCAGGCTGTGAACCAGGCAGCCAGCCAGGCAGAAAACAATTCTACAGACACAACCACACTTGCAGGGAGGGCTGCAGAGGAGAAGCACCAGTGCCAGCAGAGCACGGAGAGAGGAAGTGGACTCGGATGCGGGGACCAGGGAAGGCATCCCTGAGGAGGGGACGCATAAGCTGAAACCGATGGATGGGCAAGAATAAATGCAGCCGGTGGAGGGCGACAGCTCTGCTCCCGGAGGGAAGGACAGACAGCCCTCGTGGCTGCCAGTTCCTGGTCTCACAGTCAACTCTAGCAATTTCGACTGCATCCTACAGAGCAACGAGTGTGAACCACCCTGAGGCCCAGCAAAGAGTGGCCCGGGAAGACCGGTGCTTCTGAAGACTGCTGGCAGCAGTGGAGATGGCAGGGGGATGAGACCGCTGCCACAGCAGCAGGAGAGGGAACTAGAAAGCCTCAGCTGGGTCCTGGCAGCAGAGCCCAGGCCCACCTTGCCCTTCAGGACAGGGATGACAGTTCAGCGGCTCCACGCTCCAAGGGCGGCCAGCCTGCCATAAGCTTCCCATAGGCACAGTGCTATCACCAAGGCACACCACGCTTAGGGGCTGTTCTAGTTGCTGTGAGGCTTGCCAAGACCTCAGAGAGCTCTAGCCCAGGAGGACAGGCAAAGAACAAAGGGAACGAAAATACGCAGCAGAAAAATAAGATTCTCATGGAACCATAAAGTGCTGAGGAAACTCAAAGGGCAGAAGAATCCTTTCTGAACAGCAGACAGGGGCAGTGGCCTGGAGGAGGCAGCCTGAGCTGGGCATCCAAAGACAGGGAGTGCTGGAGGGGTGGGGCACAGACAGAGGGAGCAGCCGTGCGACAGCATGGGCCAGCAGAGGGCGGAGAGTGGAGGCGGGGAACACAGTGTGGAAGGTGAGCTGGGAAAGGCAGAAGGGGCCTGGATGAGGGCGGCCCGAGTGCATGCTAGCACCAGCTCTCAGCTGATGTGCTTCCCACGCTGCCAGGGCCTACCCTGAAGGGAGGCAGAGTGAGAATGGCAGTGGCCGTGCTGGCTGTCATAGGACAAACAGCAACAGTGGGAGGCAGGAATCCCAGCAGCAGCTGCTGCTACATCCTGATAAACCCATGATAAAGGGAAAATCTCCTGGGTGGAAAACGCACAGCTGACTGGGAGCTGCAGCTCACCACCTCGCACGTGCCGCCTCCACACAAGGAGAGCAGGGGGCTTCTAGCAAATGCCTGTCGCCAAAGTTGACAAATCGTAGGTCCAAAACCGTCTGCCTGACCCCTGGAGCTACAGGGTCAACACGGAAGAGTCCACATGTGGAACTCGGGCACAGTCCTCAAACACAACTCAAAGCTTAAAACCCTAAGACCCAGGAATGCTCTAGGGGCTTCAAGAGAAGTGGTCAGAGGGAAACGGGAAAACGCCCCGAGAAGGAGCATGAGGCCTTCGGGAAGCAACTATGAGGAAAGAGAAGGGAAACTAAACACAAGACAAGCTGGAGAATTTTCTTTTCTTCTTTGTTTTTTGAGAAAGGGTCTCAGTGTCGCCAGACTAGAGTATGGCTCAGGTGACCCTCCCATCTCGGCCTCCAGGGTAGCTGGGACTACAGGCACACACCGCCACACCTGCCTAACTTTTGTATTTTCAGTAGAGACAGAGTTTTGCCATGTTGCCCAGGCTGGTCTCAAACACCTGGCTGCAAGTGATCCACCTGCCTCGGCCTCCCAAGGTGTTGGGGTTACAGGCGGAAGTCACTGCATCTAGCCAAGCTTTTTCACTAGTCAAATTTGTTATTGGCCCCCAGTACTATCTTCTGCACTACTATATTCTGAACCTGTCCTGAAAGAGAAGGAACTTTCCAGAAGCAGCAGGCCCAAATACTTCTAACGAGGCCGGGCGCCGTGGCTCACGCCTGTAATCCCAGCACTTTGGGAGGCCAAGGTGGGTGGATCATGAGGTCAGGAGATCGAGATCATCCTGGCTAACACAGTGAAACTCTGTTTCTACTAAAAATACAAAAAAATTAGCCGGGCACAGTGGCGCGCACCTGTAGTCCCAGCTACTCGGGAGGCTGAGGCAGGAGAATGGCCTGAACACAGGAGGTGGAGCTTGCCATGAGCCAAGATCGCACCACTGCATTCCAGCCTGGGTGACAGAGCAAGACTCCGTATCAAAAAAAAAAAAAAAAAAAAAAAAGACGACTTCTAACGGATGCAATTCTCCTTCTGTAACTGGTCAGCCTTTTCCGGAGACCCAGCCAGCCAGTGAGGGCAACAGGGAAAGGCCTGTTGTGGTTGTGGCTGCTGAGAACAGAGGGGATGGGGTCCCTCCTCTCCAAACCTGTGCCTGACTCCTTCAGCAGATTTGAGCTTTCTTCACTGACAAAGTCACACGCCAGCTTTCTGAGGGTCCAGAGAGAGCTGACAAGACCCATGTGCTCTACCGGGGCCCGGTTCTTCTTAGATCCGTGATTGGGTCTTTTCACCCTTAGCAGAACTCTTTGGCTGTGCCTAAAGAGAAGCCTCCTTAAACCTCTCTTCAGATCCTTGTTTTTTTGAGATAGGGTCTTGCTATGTGGCCCAGGCTGGCCTCAAACTCCGGGGCTCAGGCCATCCTCCCTATTCAGCCTCCCAGGTAGCTGAGATTACAGGCATATGACACTGCGCCTGGCTTCTCTCTTCAGATTCTTGAATCCACTCGCAGACTGACCCCTCGCTTTACCTTTCATGCACAGGGTTTGGGCCACAATGAAGAAAGGCAGCGATCACTGCACCAATCAGGGAGCCTTTTGGGGTAACAGGCTGGGGAGGACCTTAGTTCTAATTACTGCACATAACACCCTCCCCACAAGCTGACCACAGAGCTCCCACACTGGTCTCCCAGCACTGGGAACAACACTGCTGGAAGGAGAAAGCAGCCCATGGCTCAGAAACCCCGTCTCTATCAAAAACACACACATTCTAGTACCTCCCAGCTACTAGGGAGGCTGAGGTGGGAGGATCACTTGAGCCTGGGAGGTCAAGGCGGCAGTGAGCCATGATCCTGCCTCTGCATTCCAGTCTGGGCAACAGAGTGAGACAGTGTGTCAAAAAAAGAAGAAGAATGAATTCTTGTTCCCACCAGACCTGCCAATCCTCAAGACTGCTAGATCTGCCATGGTGGCTGACGGGGAAAAGGGCCACCAACCTGAATGTCACCATGTAGCTGGGTCTGGTGGCTGCTATGGTCTGACGGGTTAAGGACCGGGTCAGGTGGGCTGCCTGCCCCTCTGCCAGCAGGCACCAGAGCAACCATGTCACAGCCCTCCATCAGTCACTCAGAGGACGGCATTCAAAACTACAGCTGGGTGCAGTGGCTCATGCCTATAATCTGAGCACTTTGAGAGGCTGAGGTGGGAAGACTGCTTGAGCCCAGGAGTTTGAGTCCAGCCTGGACAAGAACGAGACCCTGTCTCAAAAAACAAAAAACACTTGGTGGCTGGGAAAATTAAAGACAAAGGTTAAAAAACGAAATACTACTCTTCCACACCATGCTAGCACAACTCCCATTCAGACTGGAGCACGGCGAGAGCAAGCCTGTCTCCCTCTCACCGCCCACCAGTCTTGGCAAACTGAAGGTTTTGTATCCAGTTCTATCTCTCGCCTGGCCTGGGAGCTCCTAGAGAGCAATGGCAACATTTGAGATTTATCACTATGCTTCTCTTGCATCCTACGAAACACAGATATTCAACAGAAAGTTTCTGATCAAATGAACAGAATAAATCTGAGGGCAAACGCGTACCGATTAGACCAGTGCCTGACACCAGGTGGCCACTGACTAATTGGTTGCCAAATAATACAAGAATGGGCTTTGTGCAGCCATAGCCATTTTCCACTTCTAAGAAAATCCTACAGACAAAAGTCCAACCATTCAAAACTGGTAATACTGAAGGCTGTTACCGACAACATAATGTTGTGCTTTACCAAAAGCCTTGTAACATGATTCCTTTAAATGTCAGGGTCCCCTGAATAATCTAATTTACAAGAATTCCACCTACACGCAAATTCTAGGAAAAAGCCAGGGGAGGCACATATTGGCCGGGAAATAGCGAGCCTGACTTTGACATTTGTCCTAACAGCTGATTCATTAATAAATGGGATTCCTAGGGTCCTGGCTACATTCTGTCCAGACTGGAGTGGGACAGGAGGAGGTCCCTAAGAGTCCGAGGGAACAGCAAGGTCGGCTGGCCAACAGCAGGAGGTCCTGCTACACTCTGCTCCAGAGGACAGATGCCATGTCGCTACAGGGCCCGGGAGGAGGCCAGGAGCACCCCGGCTTTGTGTGAACTCTAGGCTAGCTCAGAGAGGAAGAGAAACCCCTCACGCCTGGTAAATGCCTGCTCAGCCAGTAAATGTGATCCTACATCCTTCACGGTCACCTAGCTGCTGCCTCCTCCTCCCCGCCAAGGTGTTCAGACCCACGCAGCTGCCCCAGTTACTGCGTCTCTTCTCCCACGACCCATGGAAGAAAACGGTGCTGAAACTGTCACCGGCAGACTTTTGCAGTCATCTCATCCTACTCATGTTAAGTCTCTACGGAAAAGCCTGCCTAAAAGTGACCTCCACCCTCTAGCAGCCTACTGGACAGAATCCATCCTCCCTGGATCTTTGTGGACAGCAGCAGGCCACACGCAAATGGCAGAGTGCTCTAAGAAAAGGAAAGAAGGGAGAAAGGGAGGGAAGAAGACAAAACGGGATACATTTAAAAAGTAACAAAGACTCTGATGGAGTCGGATGAACCAGATCTGAATCTTGGTTCTGCTCACCAGCTGTGTAAGCTCAGATAAGACATCAAACCTCACCATTCCTCAGTTCATCTATAAAATGGAGCAGTAATACCGACTTTACAGAAAGCCTGTGATTAAAAGTGCACACAAAAAGCTTAAAGTGCTTTGCACAGTGCCAGGCACATATTCTCTCTTAAGCTTAGAAATTCTCTGTCAAATGAGATTCCTGTCAACTCTGCCCACTATGAGGATCAAATGGGAAAACTTCCTTAGAATGCCATAGAAGCTGTACTGTTGGACACACCTAGGGGACTGTTACTGGTATGCTGGGCCGCCAATCCAGCAGACTCAAACAGCTCTGCAAATCAGCCAGAGTGAGGAGTGAGCTTCCTCTGTCCATAAGCACAGAACCCCCACCGAGATTTTTTAGATGCTATCCTTGTGATCCCAGGGCTTCCGGCCTCCACCAAAACACTCCATGCGTACTTCCAACCCCCACGGAGTCCTCAGTTTACAGAGAGAAAAACCAGCACACTAAAGGAAATGATGTGTCTTTAAACATACAAACAGGAAGCCGAGAACAGAAATAAGGAGGGATTCCAGGCTCCTTATCCCAGCCCTGGTTCCTCCCAGAGGCTCATCCCATCTCACTGGGAAATCATTCTACACACCACAACCACCGGTTACACTGTCCCTCCCCGCTGTCAGGGCCTCTGACACCAGCTGTGGCAATCACTTAATAGTGCAGAGGAGAAACCGAAGTCCAGAGAGAGAGATCACACAGTTGGTGGGCAGCAAAGCCTGGGCTTTTCGATATGGCAGCCTCCCTGCAGACAGGCTGACCTTGGCCGCAAGGGCTCTGGGGGTGTCTTTTTTGAGCTGCACTTGTGTCGGGCTGGCGCTGGGGCGGGACCCAAGGTTAAATACGACAGCAACTTCTGTGCAACGGGCACTTCACTGTGCCAGGCTCTGAACTGGGCATGTTACCGATTCCTCCCATCCATCCTCCGAGTGGGCGCTCTCCATATCCCTGCTTCTCGGAGGGGAAACAGGCTCAGAGGAAGGGATTTGCTGCGGTCTGGGGACCCGGGTGGGGGAGTGCCCTGCCTGGGCTTCGAGTGCCTCGACTTTCCTCCTGTACCCCAACCCATAGACTGACTGCTCCGTAATCCCTGCCCAGGTCCGGCCCGTGGACCGCTTGGGGACGCGCACGTGGGGCCCGCGCGCACGCGCCGGGTCACGTGACGAGCCGGGGACCTCAGGGCGCCGAAGCAGTTAGGGGTCGCGGCCTCCCCTCTCCCGGCGGCTGCCTACCCTTCGCACCGCCTCGCGCTACTCACTCCGCGCGGGGGCTCCCGGGACCGAGAGAAGAAGATGGGGAAGAGGAAGGGAGGGCGGCAGCGGCGGAGACCCCACAAGGTAACCGCAGCTCCGCGACACCACGACCAGACGCGACAGCTCGCGGCGCGCGCTGCCTTTGTCCGCTAACGTCACTTCCGGGCGTTTAGGGGCGGGGCCACGGCTGGCCCCACCCCCTCGTTCAGCTTGTCCCCCTCCCGCGGGCTCCGGATTTAGCCTGACTTCTTTTGAAAAATAATTTAACTTACTTTTTTTTTTTTTTTTTTTTTTTTTAAATTGAGACAGAATCTTGCTCTGTCAACCAGGCTGGAGTGCAGTGGCGCGATCTCGGCTCACTGCAACCTCCGCCTCCCAGGTTCCAGCGATTCTCCTGCCTCTGCCTCCAGAGTAGCTGGGACTACAGGTGTGAGCTACCACACCCGGCTAATTTTTGTATTTTTAGTAGAGACGGGTTTTCACCATGTTGGCCAGGCTGGTCGCGAACATCTGACTTCAAGTGACCTCCCGCCTCTGCCTTCCGAAGTGTTGGGATTATAGGCGTAAGCCACTGCGCCCAGCCTAATTTGATTTCCTTCCTTCCTTCCTTCCTTCCTTCCTTCCTTCCTTCCTTCCTTGCTTCCTTCCTTCCTTCCTTCCTAACTCCCTCCCTGCCTCCCTCCCTCCTTTCCTTTCTCTCTTCTCTTCTCTTCTCTTCTCTTCTCTTCTCTTCTCTTTTCTTTCATTTTTTGAGACGGAGGCTCGCTCTGTCGCCCAGGCTGGAGTGCAGTGGCCTATCTCAGCTCACTGCAAGCTCAGTCTCCCGGGTTCCCACCATTCTCCTCCCTCAGCCTCCCAAGTAGCTGGGACTACTGGCGCCCGCCACCACGCCCAGCTAATATTTTTTGTATTTTTAAAGTAGAGATGGGGTTTCACCTTGTTAGTCAGGATGATCTCGATCTTCTGATGTCGTCATCCGCCCGCCCCGGCCTCCCAGAATGCTGGGATTACAGGCGTGAGCCACCGCGCCCGGCCTAATTTGACTTCTTTAAAAAAAAAATTAGAGACGGGGTCTCACCCTGTTGCCCAGGCTGATCTTGAATCCTGGCCTCAAGCAAGGCTTCCACTTTGGCCTCCCAGACTGCTGGGGTTACAAGCATGAGCCACCGCGCCCAACACAGGTTACAGCTCAAAACTTGATTAAATTGACTTTTGGGAATCTGGAAGGACCTCCCGAACTGAAAAGAGCCGCGGCGTTGCCCTCTGTCCATCCCCATCACGAACAACAGTTCCTTTGGAGGCTGCAGGCTGGGCTTTGAGTAAGAAGGGAAAAAAAGCTATTGGTCCTCAAATCCACCCATCTCCATTAGCATCCTAAAATAATACCGACCCCCCAAAAATAAAATAAAAAATACTCTTGGCAGTGCCATGGGATTCCCACCCAAATAAGCAGAATAAGCCGATGAAATTTCCATTCCAAAAGCATGGCCCTTCCCTCAGCTCCTCCCGTGCAAAGAAATTCTGGAGCTATCTCCGAGGCAGCAGTGATGGAAACACGAGCTTCCAGGTGGGTAGAGCCTGTTAACATCTCCGAGCTTCAGTCTCCTGCCAGAAGAAGTGGAGCAATGTAATCATTACTCAACTTCTGATGCTCTGAGAGGATTAAACTTGTGGGACACTGCAAGTCAGACCTTCAGCTCAGCACCTGCAGTGGGTTCTCAGGAAATGGAAGCTATTATAATGACAATATTCACCCTAAGGTCATTTTTCCTAAACTATTAATAACATCCTGGTCTTGGCAGGGTGCAGTGGTGCACAACTGTAACCCCAGCATTCTGGGATGCCAAGGTGGGCGGATCACCTGAGGTCAGGAGTTTGAGACCAGCCTGGCCAACATGGCAAAACCCCGTCTCTACTAAAATACAAAATTAGCCAGACATAGTGGTGCATGCCTGCAGTCCCAGCTACTCGGGAGGCTGAGGCAGGAGAATCGCCTGAACCTGGGAGGTGGAGGTTGCAATGAGCCTAGATCACACCATTGCTTTCCAGCCTGGGTGACAACAGCAAAACTCTGTCTCAAAAATAAATAAATAAAATAATAATATTCTGGCGTTAGGTTTCCAATGCCTTCCTCTGAGTGGTGCACACAGAAGGTGCTTAAAGTGTGTTTGCTCTAAATGTACTGAAAGCTACGGGAGAAAGGGGATGCCAAAAAGCCCCATCTGCATTGAGTCCGCAGAACGTGTGTATGTGCATATTATTTGGCATCCCCTCTAGACTATTCTAGGTCCCAACTGCTGCCCCTGGTCTGAGCAAGCTTCATTTTCTGTGTCTCTATGCAAAGGGATTGATCCTGGGCAATTTCAATTGCTGGGGGATGTCTGGAATCCTCCGCCAGGGGGCAGCTCTGGTCCAAACTCTGCATGCCTAAAAATCCAGCCCTATCTTATTTCCTGTCAACAGAAGAGCAAGCCCCTTCCCCACACCCAGACTCCAAGGCCTTCCCAGGGCTGGCCAGCTTCCTGACCTCAAAGCCTCTGGCATCTCTGAATTCCCAAGCCTAGCACATAGTAGTTGCTTGATAAATGATGGCAGAGCGCAAGGTCTGGAGGGTTCTTTAGAAACATCTAGTTAGGCCGGGTGTGGTGGCTCATGCCTGTAATCCCAGCACTTTGGGAGACCGAGGCGGGTGGATCATGAGGTCAGGAGATTGAGACCATCCTGACTAACACGGTGAAACCCCATCTCTACTAAAAATACAAAAAAAATTAGCCGGGCGTGGTGGCGGGCGCCTGTAGTCCCAGCTACTCGGGAGGCTGAGGCAGGAGAATGGCATGAACCCGGGAGGCAGAGCTTGCAGTGAGCCAAGATCACGCCACTGCACTCCAGCCTGGCTGATGGAGCGAGACTCCGTCTCAAAAAAAAAACAAAACACAAAAAACCATCTAGTTAATCTGGTGCTTCTCAGCCATTAAAAAAAAGTCACATACCCTTTAAATAAATACAAAAATATCTCCCTCCCCCACTCAATATTGTAGCTCTCCAAGAAAGTATGTCCCTCCATCCCTGGTGAGAAGCATTGACAGAAAATAGAATACATCTTTGGCGACGTGTCCTCTAGTGAGTCACTCTGTTATTTGAATTACAAAGTCGTTTCTTCATTTTCAAATTATGAAACTATGCCATGCCAGTGAAATACTCATGTAAATGACCTTTGTCTCCCACCCCAGCTTCATAATACTCTATGAGCTTCCTCTCGGCCCTCTCCCAGCCAAGACTCAGAGATAAGGCCCAGGGGGTCCTGAGAAAAAAGACGCTTCTCCAGTATCACACAGCAAAACAGCAGACCATGGACTTGAAAGTGGGTATGTTAATTTCTTTCTCCTCTTCTCTCTTCTCTTCTCTTCTCTTCTCTTCTCTTCTCTTCTCTTCTCTTCTCTTCTCTTTTCCTTTCTGGAGATGGAGTCTCACTCTGTAGGCTGGAGTGCAGTGGCGTGATCTCAGCTCACTGCAACCTCCGCCTCCTGGGTTCAAGAAATTCTCCTGCCTCAGCCCCCCAAGTAGCTGGGACTACAGGCACACGCTGCCACACCTGGCTAATTTTTTTGTATTTTAGTAGAGACGGGGTTTCACCATGTGACCCAGGCTGGTTACGAACTCCCGAGCCCAGGCAATCTGCCTGCCTCGGCCTCCCAAAGTGCTAGGATTACAGGCATTAGCCACTGCAACCTGGCCTCTTTTTTTTTTTTTTTTTTGAGACAGAGTCTCAAATGATCCGTGTAATGGATTAGAGTTGGAGATGTCAGCATGAGCTCATGTTTAGCTTAATATAAGTACAGATGGTTACCTATAGAAATATTTATAGATCTCTGGCCGGGCGCGGTGGCTCAAGCCTGTAATCCCAGCACTTTGGGAGGCCGAGACGGGCGGATCACGAGGTCAGGAGATCGAGACCATCCTGACTAACACGGTGAAACTCCGTCTCTACTAAAAATACAAAAAACTAGCCGGGCGAGGTGGCAGGCGCCTGTAGTCCCAGCGACTCCGGAGGCTGAGGCAGGAGAATGGCGTAAACCCGGGAGGCGGAGCTTGCAGTGAGCTGACATCCGGCCACTGCAGTCCAGCCTGGGCTACAGAGCAAGACTCCGTCTCAAAAAAAAAAAAAAAAAGAAATATTTATAGATCTCTGTGTGTATAATAGTAAACACACACATTTCTTGGTCTGCCAGCTGAGACTGCCTGAAGGAAATGACATCTCAATAGCAAGAAGCACACCTAGCACCCAGGCCTTGAATCATTATTATTATTACTGTTTTTGAGATGGAGTCTCACTCTGTCACCCAGGCTGGGGTACAGTGGCATGATCTCAGCTCACTGCAATCTCTGCCTCCCAGGGTCAAGCGATTCTCCTGTCTCAGCCTCCCAAGTAGCTGGGATTATAGGCGCACACCACCACGCCCAGCAAATTTTTGTATTTTTAGTAGAGACAAGGTTTCATCATGTTGGCCGGGCTGGTCTTGAACTCCTGACCTCAGGTGATCCGCCCGCCTTGGCCTCCCAAAGTGCTGGGATTACAGGCATGAGCCACCGTGCCTGTAATTTCTAGGTCCATTGTATTCTGACTGCCTGCTCTTGGGGTGGAAGTTCTACTTCCAGAGCCACCCAGCCTGAGCCTCCCAGATCTGGAAGGCCTGGCTGCCCTGGTCAGAGTCCCAGTGCCCTGGGTGGTTATGGCCAGGGCATCCAGGACACAATAGCCTCACCCTCAGTCCCCAGGCCTTGGTGCCCACTGCTCTTCAGGTGCCCAGGGGTGAGGCGCGGATCACAATGACCCTGAAACAGCCCAGAGGCAGCAGGGAGGGGCTGGGAGAGGCACCAGGCAGGGATGATGGGCTCTCCCAAGGGCTAGCCTGCCTATAGAGAGCTCTAAACTCACAGGACTTTCTCAGGCCCTGCCCAGAAGCCCACCAGGGTGAGTGTGACACTGCCCAGGAGCCAGCTCAGAGCTGACAACAATCTGGGAGTGGGGTATGGTGGGGAGGAAGCAGGCTCAGAGACCCCTCAGTGTCAGAGCTGGGAGTAGGACTGGGGCTCTGCCTCCCAAAGCAGAGTTTGTTAGAAGTCTGTATCTTGGCCAGAAGTGGGGGCTCATGCCTGTGATCCCAGCACTTTGGGAGGCCAAGGCAGGTGGATCACTTGAGCCCAGCAGTTCAAGACCAGCCCGCGCAACATAAATACAAAAAATTTCCACCCCATTTCTACAAAAAATACAAAAATTAGCCGACTGTGGTGGTGTGTGCCTGTAGTCCCAGCTACTCAGGAGGCTGAGGCGGGAGGATCGCTTGAGCCCAAGAATTTGAGGCTGCAGTGAGCTATGATGGTGCTACTGCACTCCAGCATGGGCGACAGCAGGACTCCATCTCTTAGCAAGACCCTATTTCTTTAACAACAACAAAAAAAAGTGTCTTGGCTCCAGCTGAATCAGAATGGGGGCTGGGGGTAAGTCATCTGTACTTTCAACAGGCTCCCCACCCAGGGGTCTCTGAGGCACCACCAGGGCTGGGAGGCTGCTGGTCAGGTCTTTGTTACCTCAAGCTGGTTCCAGGTTTCCTAATTCCCAGTAGAGCACTAACGACGGTAACAGCTTCCACGATTTGAACACTGCAAGGCAGGCTAAGTGCTCTCTCTACCAGCGGTGATGCCATTTCACGGCTGCAAAGAGGCAGGTGCTGCTATTATCCCCATTCTGCAGACCAGAGTCCCCAGGGAAGGCAGAGGGAAAGTTAATTGGCTTGGCCAAGGTTACAAAGCTAGTAAGTGGTGGAGCTGGGACTAAATCTTAAATAATAAGAACTTTTAAATACTAAGAACGGTAGCTAGTCTATGTGTAAGCTTGGCCAGCGTGCCTGGCACTGTTCCGAGCTCGCTGTTCTAAGACTGGCATGTACGTGCTCATTTAAACGTCACAGCAACCCCAAAGCTGGCCACTCTTGCTGTCACCATTTTTCAGGTGAGGAAACAGAGGCTCTGGGAGCTCTCGCCTGAAGCCACTCGCTGTCCGCTGGGCCGGTGGCGCTCACCCTGCACCGCGCTGCCCTGCCCGGGGCACTATGGCCTGGGGCTGGACTATGCCCTCCCCACCTCACCCGGCGCCCCCCACCCACGCGCGCTGAGGGTGCGGTGAGCTGAGCGCGGGGCCAAGCATGTTCCGGCGTCGACCTCGCCCAGGGGCCCAGGAGGTGGCGCCCAAGGGGCTCCCTGGCGACGGCGACTTCCGACGCAGTAGCGACCCGCGGCTGCCCAAGCTGACCCCGCCTGCGCTCCGAGCGGCCCTGGGCGCGCGGGGCTCCGGGGGCTCGAGAATCCCGGGGGGCGGCGCCGCGTGGTGGCCGGAAGGGGACGCCGAGCCCGGGGTGGGCTTCGGACGCCTCCCGCCGCCGCGCCTGCCCGCCCTGCTCACTGCGAGCCGGCGGGCGGTGCGGAAGCGGGGGCTGCTGCGGTCTCTGCTGCTACCTCCCCTGCTCTCGGCCGGCGCGTCCCGGGAATCGGCGCCCAGGAAGCCCGGGCCTGGAGAGCGCGAGCGCCCCCGGAGGGGCGTGGCCAGGGAAGACCCCGAGTTCTTGGGTGCCTTCCTAGGAGAGCTCCTCCCCAGCAGGTTCCGTGAGTTCCTGCAGCAGCTCCAGGAGAAGTGCGCCGAGGAGCCCGAGCCACTGAGTGAGGCCCCGCGGGGCCCGGGGGGGCGGGCCCGAGTCATTCCTGGTGGGGGTGGTCTCTTGTGTCCCCGCACCCAACACCCTCACCACACCGGCTCAGAAGGATGCTAATGTTAGCTGAGTATCTCAGAGCCCTCGCAACCCCTCCTTGAAGGCTGGCCTGGTATCACCCCGAGGCCATATGACTAGGAAGGACCGTCCCCCAGCCAAGGCTCACAAGTGTTTCCTCCTGGCTTCAGCATCCCCAGCACAACATCAAAGTGGTGTGTTAGAGCACTGCCCAGGGTCTCCGCAGTGTCCCAACTGTTCCTTCCTCCCAGACCTGTGGTAAGCGTCAGTTCCCTTCTTCGTGGGGACGAGGTTGCCATCGATGTTTCCAGAGAGGGACAGCCTGGCCAGTCATGCCTGATGTGGCCTGTTTGTCTTTAAGGGGCCAGTCATCGCACCTCCAGGATAGTCTTACGAAGATTTCGCTCCATCAGACACCTACTCTGGGGCCCCTGAAGGGTGATCACTCACAATTCACCACTGTCAAAAAGGCCAACCAGTGAGTGACGGGAGGGATAGGGTAGGGTAGTGGAGGAAAGGGGCATTTCTTTCCTCCTTTCTTTCCTTTTTCCCATGAATGTATTCATCCATCCTTACATACATCTGTCCATGAATCAGATCTTCTATCAACCCACTCAAGATTCATTCGCCAGTTCTTGTATGAATCAACCCATCCATTAATGAGGTCTTCTACCAACACATAATTCATCCATGAATCCATTCATATATTCATTTTCCCATTCACCCATCCATCCTTGCATCCGTCTTATCCATGAACCAGGTCTTCTACAACCTGTTCATGAATCTCTCCATCTCTCCATCTATCTTTCTATCCACCCATTCATCTATCATGAACCCATGACTCCGTCCATGCATACATTCACTCAGCCACCTACCCCTGAATCAGGTGTCTTGTGGATCCATCCCTCTACCTGGCCAACCAGCTAGCCAGTCATCCATCTAAAACTCCCACACTTCTATCCATCCATCCATTGATCAAGCATCCATCCATTGATTATCCATCCACTGATCAACCATCTACAAATCCTTCCATCCACTTGTAAACCCAGGACACTGTCCATCACTAATCTAGTCATAAAGCCATCCACAAACCTACATATCCATCTACATAAAAAGCCAGCCACCCATCTGTCCATCTACCCATACATTCATACTTCAGTTCTATTCAGACCCTTTCATTAACTCACCCCACAGTCCATCCACCCATCAACCCACCCACCCAGTCTTCCATCTTTTTGCCCATCCCACCATCATTTGTCCATGTCTTACTCTAACTTTTATTAGGTTTTACTATATGTTGAATATTGGGAGAAAAATAAGGGATGGAGGTAAGAGAAGAGCCTAGGCATTGGAACCTACCTGGGCCTAGACACCATAGTTTTAACAGAGGGGGAAAAGAAGACAGAAACAGTTCCTCCAGGTTAAAATTCCTCCAGGCCTAAGCAGGAATGAAGGGTGAATGGCACTACCCATGAGTTTAAAGACCAGAGAGAGTAAAATATATCACATACATATCATTCCTCATCTGATACCCATGGCAGACAAAACTAATGGATCATATTTCCCCACTGAGCCTCAGAACCCTTCCTTGCACAGTACTCCAGGTAGACACTACTGATGGATCAGAGTAGGAACTAGAAATGGATCACATGGCCAAGCATGGTGGCTCATGCCTGTAATCCCAGTGCTTTGGGAGGCTGAGGCAGGAGGATCGCTTGAGCCCAGGAGTTTGAGATCAGCCTGAGTAACATGGTGAAACCCTGTCTCTACAAAACTTACAAACCTTAGCTGGGTGTGGTGGTGCATACCTGTGGTTCCAGCTACTTGGGAGGCTGAGGTGGAAGGATTGCTTGAGCCTGGGAGGTTGAGGCTGCAGTGAGCCAAGATCGTGCCACTGCACTCCAGCCTGGGTGACAGAGCAAGACCCTGTCTCAAAAAAAAAAAAAAAAAAGTGAAACACATTTATCAACCTCAGAACTTTCAACCAATCAGGCCAAATATACACATGACTTCTCACAAGATATAATAAATAAAAGTTTGGAATTCATTCTCTCAAATGTGAGCAAAAGCAGAAACAGACACAGTTACAGACTTTGATATTCAAGAGCAAATACTTGAGCACCTTACTGTGTGTGAGATTCCCTGGTAGGCCCTGCAGGGGACACTGGGGTGCCTCAGAACAGGCTCCAGTGGCCCTCAAGGGGAGATGCTGAGATTTCAGGCAGGCAGGCAGAGCTGGGTTATGCCTTTGCCTGGCCCTGCAGCCAGCAGAGAGCAGGGGTTCCTGAGCACACAACTGTTGGATGACTAGGTCCCAAGGCATGTAACCAGGCACTGTCCTGACACCTCCCAACTGCTTGGCTCTTTGGGGGTTGATGAAAAGCATTCCCTCCGCATCTACACAGACATACAGATGTGGTCTGATGAACGGATGCAGACATATAAATACGTGCATTCCAACAGCCAGCCATGACCTTCCTCAATAACAGAGCTATAGGTGGGTCAAGCAGGCCTTCCTGCAGCTTTGCCCTTGAGGCTGATTTTTTTTTTTTTTTTTTTTTTTTTTTTTTTTTGAGACAGAGTCTCACTCTGTCGCTAGGCTGGAGTGCAGTGGCGCAATCTGGGCTCACTGCAACCTCTACCTCCTGGGTTCAAGTGATTCTCAGCCTCTCGAGTAGCTGGAACTACAGGCGCACGCCACCGTGCCCAGCTAATTTTTTTGTATTTTTGGTAGAGACGGGGTTTCCCCACGTTGGCCAGGATGGTCTCGATCTCTTGACCTTGTGATCTGCCTGCCTTGGCCTCTCAAAGTGCTGGGATTACAGGCGTGAGTCACCTCACCCGATTGAGGCTGAAATTAACAACAATAAATGGAACAATGTTATCTATGAAATATACATATAACAGATACCCTTGATTAAGGCCAAACCCTGTGCCAGGCCATGTCCTAGATGTCTCATGTAAGTCATTTGATACTCATCAAATCCAGGAGGATGGTATTATTGTGCCTATAATTTAAAGGGAAAAAAACTGCAAAATGGAGACTTGGAGACAGTATGCCAAAGGTCATATGGCTGGGATGGGGCATGACTGAGATAGACAGTTACAGTAACAGCTCAGCGGGTGGGCGGCGGTGGCTCACACCTGTAATCCCAGCACTTAGGAAGGCCTAGGAGGGTGGATCACTTGAGGTCAGGCGTCCGAGACCATCCTGGCCAATAAGGTGAAACCCTGTTTCTACTAAAAATACAAAAGTTAGCCAGGCGAGGTGACGCACTCCTGTAGTCCCAGCCACTCGGGAGGCTGAGGCAGGAGAATGGCGTGAACCCAGGAGGCGGAGCTTGCAGTGAGCTGAGATCGTGCCACTGCACTCCAGCCTGGGCAACAGAGCGAGACTATCTCAAAAAAAAAAAGAAAACAAACAAAAAAAACCCAGCTCCCAGTTAGTGATGTTTCCTCTGGGCCCCACAGACCCTGGGCTGGATGCTTCTACGGCCCATTTCCTTTCTTCACAACGCTGTAAAGTGGGCACAATATTCCCATTTTACAGATAAGAAAACTGAGGCTCAAAAGGGTCAGGACTGAAACCCAGGACTGCATGACTCCTGGGCTGGCATTCTTATCCTCTCTGCTAAATTGCTTTACGTGGGAGGGTGCCAGCTCTGGAACCAGGGTGCAGGTCTTGGCTCCACGCCTTACAGCTGCATGACTTTGGAATAGTCTCTGTGCCTCTGTTTCAACTATAAAATGAGAATGATAACAGCATTTCGTGGGGGCTGTGTGCATTTGGTGGGATGGTGTACCTCCGTGCTGGAGCCTGCCTGGCAGGAAGTGTTCCATTAAGGCTGGCTTCTGTGATAGGCGTTATCCATTCTTACAGACCAGTGTAGAGCACTTGTCCAGAATCTCACAGCGAGTCTGGGGTTGGTGGGTGTGTGCTGGGGTACAGCGGGGGGCTGTGAGCACAGGCTCCTTTCCCCTCTCTCAGCAGGCCCCACGGTGCACAGGTCCCCAAGCTCAAGGCTGCACTGACCCACAACCCCTCGGGGGAAGGCTCTAAGCCCCGCAAGCGGCGTTGCCCTTTCCGGGTGCGATTCGCTGATGAGACCCTGCAGGACACAACGCTCCGCTACTGGGAGCGCAGATGCTCAGGTAAGCAGACGGGTATGGGGAGCCTCGAGACTCCAGAAAGTTCCAGCCAGGAGGACAGAGAGGCTGTAGCTCTGGGCCCCTGGAGTGAGGAACCGGCTTGCAAAGGCCAAGAGATCAGTGACCCTGCAGAGGATGTGCCTGAACTGGCCACCCTGGAGGATGTCAGGGTGACCTTCGAGGACCAAGTAGAGGGTCCGAAGTCCAGTGGAGGTGTTCCAACGTGGGCGGCACCTTGGACTGCTTGCTGCCAAGGGGTCTTCATACACTGTATCTGCCCACCTTGAAACCCGTAGCCAGAGCCTCTGGAGCCTACACTTGCTCCCCTCCGCAGCCCCTATGGCCTACAGGGGCTGGAGGAGGTCCAGATGCCATTGGAAGCATCTTCCTTTGACATCCATGAAGGCAGCCCTCGAAGGCTGCCTGAGGAGGTACCCGGAAAAGCCGAGAAGAGGAAACTTTCTCTCTCCTGGAGACAGCTGGCACTGCCTGGTCCAGCAAGGAAGCTAAGAGCCACCAGGCCCTGGATGTAATGGTGTCTGTTTTGCAGTTCCCAGTGAGCTTTCTGAAGTGTGTTTCGAGAAGCAGGCCAGAAGTCCCTGTTCTTACTCTGGTATAACCTTGACCAGGCTCCACCTTTTCCTGTGTACCAAGTGTCTTGTCTTCTCAGGATCCAGCAGCCCCCAGGGCCCCCAACAGTCAACTTCCTCTAGCTATTTATTGAGCACCTACTATGTGCAGTTTCTGCCTCAAGGTCTAGCTGTGGGCGATGCCCTACAAACCTAGGACCTTCGCTGATTTGGGAGGAACTGATGCAGTCCCCTTAGCATCACAGGAAGCTGGAGTTAGAAGCTGTGATTTTTGCCCAACTTCTGTGTGTTTGGTGGGGAAACCGAGGCCCCAGAGGCAGAATGGGCTTGTGTGGGTGACAGAGCCACAAATAGAAGCCAGAGTGCCCCCGGGCCCCTCTTGGGAATATAAGGCCAGGACAAGCCCAGGAGAAACAATTTCATGTGAATGGCAGCTGGTGCATACGGGAGATGATTCCGTGTCAGCCACTGGCCATAAGGAGCTATCATAGTGTCCAGGGCAGCAGGGTGCCCAGGATATGTGGGGGCCAGCCTGCTGCTTCCCAGCCCTTTCCATCCTGCGGCAGCCATTGGGGAATTCAGGGTCCTTGGACCATCTCACATGGCTGCTGTTGGACGGGAAGAGCCCCCAGCCCTGAGACAGCCCTCCCTGAAGCCCCCAGCACTCTCAGCATGGTTTCTGGGATTTCTATGATGGGGTAAGCAGTCTCCCCACTGCGAGAAAGGGGGCACGCTTCTGGCTGCAGCACGACTGGGGATGCGCAGGGGCACAGCTTGGGTATAACAGAAACAGTCACGCAAGGTGGTTTTAAAACCCAAGCCTTCTCCGGAGGCAGCCAGAAGGCACTGGGGAGCCTGGGGTTGCCATGGAGACAGGGCTCTGACCGGCCTTGCCTGCCAGAGGGAGGAAAAGAGGGTGGGGGCACCAGTGCCCTCCTCCTGGGCAGGGATCTCACCCTGCCCTCTCTCCTGCAGTCCAACAGAGCGTCATTGTGAACCAGAAGGCTGCCCTGCCAGTGGCGTCGGAGCGGGTGTTTGGGAGTGTCGGAAAACGGCTGGAGAGTTTGCCCAAAGCCCTGTACCCTGAGGCCAAGGAGGAGACCCTGGCCAGCTCCTGGTGCTGGGACTGTGCTGGCCTGTGTGGCTCTGGGGAAGGGGATGGGACTCGCTGACATTGCCAGGGCTCCCCACCCCGCTTGCTTACAGACCTCCCCACCCAGCAGCAGGGGGGTTGTCAGTGTGGGTCCTCAAGGGCCCTGCCAGCCATGGGTGGGCCGGGGACTCAGAGTCCAGGAAGCTCATGGGGTCCTGTCTCCCCCAGGTCCACCCAGAAGACACAGGGCTATCTTTCTGAGGACACCTCCATGAACAGCAGCGTGCCCTTCTGTTCAGGGAAGAAGGCCACTGCTCAGAGACCGCGAAGCGGCCTCCGAGCCTTCTTGGACCCGTACGGCAACCTGGAGCAGGTGGGCAAATGGTGAGCCCCTGCTGGCAGCTGGCCCCGGGAGCAGCCCTGTTTGGTGGGGTGGCTGGGGCTGGGAGTGGATCCTCCCTGCAAGCCAAGTCACCGTGGGGGCTTGCAGTGGCCACACTGTGTTCCTGCATCTTCCTCAAAGTGCAGCAGTCAAGGGGTGGCTGTAAGCCAGGTGCCTGGGTTCCGTTCACAGTTCCTTTCTGCATCTCCCCTCCCTTCCCCTCCCCTCCCCTCCCCTCTCCTTTTTTGAGACAGAGGGTTGCTCTGTGGCCCAGGCTGGAGTGCAGTGGCACAATCTTGGCTCACTGCAACCTCCACAATGGGGACACCCACCACCACTCCCAGCTAATTTTTGTATTTATAGTAGAGATGGGGTTTCACTATGCTGCCCAGGCTGGTCTGGAACTCCCGACCTCAGGTGATCCGCCCAACTTGGCTTCCCAAAGCACTGGGATGACAGGCGTGAGCCACCGTGCTCAACCTTGCATCTGTTTCCTCATCTTTTAAAATGGGGCTGGCAGCACTACCTGCCCAACAGGGCTTCAGCATAGAATCCTGCTGGGAGCCCAGTCCCCTGCCCTGAGGTCCCAGTAGCAGCCAGCTGGTCCTCTGTCTCACTGCAGTCGGTCCTGAAGCAAGGCCGCCCTAAGGGGTACCAGCTCCTCCTGGCCTCCACAACACTGCAGCCAGATCAGAGGTGAACACCCGCGAGCCCAAGGCCAGGGACACACATGGGCCAGGCAATGAGGAGCGTCCCTCCTTGCCCACAAATAAAGGCACATCCCAGGTGGCTGGGACCTGCCAGTAGGTCTCACACAAGCCTTTCTGGGTACCTGATTGCTGGTCTCTGGGGGTTCCTGGAAGGAAGGGGATCGAGACACAGCCAGGATGAGGCTGAGGGGTGGGGGACAGGGTATCCCTGGGGTTCAGGACTTGTACCAAGTGAACCCCTCTTCCGGAAGGTGGGAGACCCTGCCACACACCTCAAACCTGGGAACATGCTGGGCACGATGGTCCATGCTTGTAATCCCAGCACTTTGGAAGGCCAAGGTAGGAGGATGGCTTCAGCCCAGGAGTTTGAGACCAGCCTGAGCAATGTAGACCCTGCCTCTTAAAAAAAAAAAAAAAAAAAAGCTGGGTGTGGTGGTCCACGCTTCTAGCCTCAGGTACTTGGGAGGCTGAGGCGGGCAGATCACTTGAGCCCAGGAGGTTGAGGCTGCAGTGAGCTGTGATGGCGCCACTGCACTCCAGCCTGGGCGAGAGAGTGAGACCTTGTCTCAAATATCAAACAACAACAACAACAAAACCCAAAAAACTTGGGACCAAGCCTTTGTCGACCTAGATCAGCCCACACCTGAAGCAGGCACCTGCTAGAAACTCAGCCTAGGGGTGGAGAACCCCCGCCCCAAGCTTCTGTCCTCCCCCTCCAAGCCTCCATCTTGACATCCACTGTGGAGTGAGGGCGTCCAGACTCCAGCCCAGGGAAAAGAGCCCTGTGTTAGTTTCCCGGACGGGTTGGTACCCTCTGGTCCGGGAAGGCAAAGCACCCGGGTGGGACTGGCTGGGGCCCGCCGTTTCTCTCCTAGTCTGGGGATGAGGGGGTGGATGTTCAAATCCATATCAGGAGGTGGCGAAAGACAAGGTGGCAGGCACTGACCCAGCAACCCCAGGCCACCGCCAAGCCCCTGCCCACCAGGTTTGCCCCTGCCGGTGGCCCCCAGTCCTGCGCCATTACCCAGGATCCGGGTCTTTCTCGCCACCTCCTGGTCGCTGAGGAAACAGCAGGGAATCCACACCCTGGCGCCTTAAGGGCAAAGGAATGGGCTGCAAACGGTGGGACTGGGCTGGGCGGTGGCTGGTGGGGGTCTTTAGGGCCGGGATGGGCTGTGGATGGGGGAGGCCTTTTGGGAGAGGCGCCCCGACTCCAGAAGAAGGGCAACAGAGCTAGACTCAGTTTAGACAAACTGTGCGGGGATAGGAAGAAGACAGCGCTGCCACCGCCCCTCCACCGGGTACCTGACTGCTGGACTCGGGGCGGGGGGGGGGTTCCTGGAAGGAACGGGGGGAGACACAGCCAGGACGAGGAGTGGCATTCAGTCCCTGGGACGTCCCCTCCCGTCTGTCTCCCTTTCTGGACTTTCACGCCCCGTCCCCTGACCCAGGCTCATTATTTCCTGGAGAACCTGCGGGTTTCAGCAGGCCTGATTCTACCGCCCCTCCTCCAGGTGGCCTTGCCCAACCCACCTCGCCCTCTCTGAGCCTCAGTTTCCCCCAAGGGTCGCGGCGGGACCCGACCCCTGCTCCGGCTGCAGCGCCGCAACGCGCCCACGCGGGGGCAGTGTTGGCCTGGCTTTGGCGCCGCCTGGCGCGACCGAAACTTCTCAGCCTCTCGCTCCAGGGTCGGAAACTTTTCCCCTCGCGCGGCGCTGGCGCTCGCGCCCGCCGGCCTCCGCCTCCGCGCTGCTGGCCCCGCACAGCCCAGCTCTGGCCGCGCGACCTCCTGGCAGCCGCTACGAGCCCGCGGCCGGCCCTGGCGGGTGGGAGGAAACGCGCCGCCCCCGCCCCCCAACTTCCCTCTCTCTCGCTTTTGTTGTTCAGCCCAAAATTGCTAGGCTTGCAGCCGTGCGGCAGCGCAGAGCACTGAAGCCGGAGTCCGCGTGGAGAACCCTGGGCGGGTCTCGGCGCCCCCGCGGGCCCCCGCGACCCCGGACTCCATGCACTTGCCCGCGCCGGGGGGCACCACGCTGGGGGGGTCGCTGGGCGGGGCTTGCAGGGAGACCTGCCCCCTCCCCCGCTTATGCTTCCCCTTCCCCTTCCCCCCTTTCTCCTTCCCCACCCTCCTCCTCCCTTTCCCCTCCACCTCTCCCCTGTGGCTCGGCACGCAAGGCCCCGGGATCCCGCAGCGCTCCTGTCCGCTCCCTGCGCTGCCCGCTCCCTCCCTGCAGACCACAGACGGAGGATGGGAGCCTCAGTCCCGCCGCTTTTGGCACTTACACCCACCACCGAGATAAGCACCCCGAGACACACACAGGCACACCACAGGGCCACACCCACATGGTACACAGACACAACACCCCACAGACACCCCCTTCAGACACACACACCACACAGGTACACGGACTCCTGCCCCACAAACAGACCGTGCACACAGGCCGACCTCACACATACACGGCCTCTCGCGAGGTCTCCCAGGGCCGCAGCCCCCACATTCAGGGTCACCTGCTGCCCTGGAGGCCCAGACGCCTCCCCCTGGCCCTCTGTAGCCCCTTGTCTGTACACCAGCATGTCCCCTACTATGAACTTAGGGTGACCAAGGACAGGATGAAGAAGAGAGGGAGCGAGGCATTCAGGGGATGGACCCATTCCCAGCTGTTCCCCGGGGAGCCTCGGGGGCCCATCTCTCACCCTCTTTGGCAGTGACCCCAGACTGGTGGCCTCCCCAGGGGCCCCAACAGGGCCCTTTTCCTGGGGCATTTCCACTCAGGGCTGGTGGGAGTGGGGGGGTTGTGGTGTGGAGGGCTGCCCCTCCTGGGCTTCAGGAAGCAGCATGTCGGGGAGGCCAGGAAAACTCTGCTCCCCGCAACTCAGACCCATCTGAGCAGCTGGGATCAAGGCAGGCGCAACCCCCAACCCCACCCCTGCCATTGGCCATGGGCAGTCCTGTGCCCAGCCAGGACAGGGGAGAATGGGAGCTGGGTCTATTTGGGTGGAGAGGGAGGAATGACTGACCCAAGGCAGAGGGCAGAGCTGGGAGAGGCAGGAGGTCACTGTCCCTTTCTAGGTGTCCCCACCTCCCCACACCTCTGCACCCCTGCAAGGTGGCTCCTTAGCCCTGTTTGCTAATAAGGACACTGAAACCCTGAGGGCACAGGGGGTCTCACCTGGGCGTGCTGGTGGTGCCGACTGGAGCTGGAACTGGTCCTACAGATGTCCTGCGCCAGCAAGGCCTTCGGCCGCATGCACAGGAGCTCTCTCGTAAGCCGCTCTCTACAACCTTTGGTTGTTGGGGAAGCCAGGGCCCAGAGAGGCTCAACTCTTTCTCAAGATCACACAGTGACCAGGTGTTGGAGTGGGGATTCGCACTCAGCACCTCTTCAGGGGGAAGCCCTGTCTCCCGCTGAACGTGGTCCTCCGGGGGCTGCTGCTTCCTCCCGCACACGGGGCCCCTTGGAGCAGGGAGGATCAGGGCAAGGTCAAGGAAGGAGAGGCGTTTATTTAGAGAGGGTGGAACTGGGCAGGTGCACAGGGTCCGGAAGGAGCTGGAAGCCTCAAGGCTGGTGGGCAGGACCCATGACTGAAGTGGAGAAGAGCGCGCTGGCTCCAGGCAGGAGCCTGGTGGGAGGGAGAGGAGGGAGCCAGGAATGAGCCATTCTGCAGGCGGCTCATTCAGCTCTGTTATGGACTGAACGTGTCCCCCCAAAATTCATATGCTGGAACCCCAGGTCAAATGTGATGGTAGGAGGAGGTGGGGCCGTTGACAGGTGATCAGGTCATGAAGGTGGAGCCCTCACACGTGGGATTCCTGCCCTTATAAGAGAGGCCAGAGGTCGAGTGCTGTGACTCACGCCTGTAATCCCAGCACTTTGGGAGGCCGAGGCGGGTGGATCACCTGAGGTCAGGGGTTCGAGACCAGCCTGGCCAACATGGTGAAAACCTGTCTCTACTAAAAATGAAAAAATGAGCCTCGCATGGTGGTGGACACCTGTGATCCTAGCTACTGGGGAGGCTGAAGCAGGGGAATCACTTGAGCCCAAGATGCGGAGGCTGCAGTGAGCCGAGATCATGCCACTGCACTCCAGCCTGGGCAACAGAGTAAGATTTCGTCTCAAAAAAAAAAAAAAAAAAAGATAAAAGAAAAAGAGGCCCCAGAAAGGCCTTGCCCCTTCCTCCTTGTGTGGATACAGCAAGAGGCCAGCAGTGTGCAACCTGGAGGAGGGCCGTCACTGGAACCCGACCATGCCGGCACCCTGATCTCGGACTGCCAGCCTGCAGCCTGGGAGGAATACATTCTGTCGCTTCGAAGCCGCCCAGGCTTTGGTCATCTGTTAAGCAGCCCAAAGAGACTCAGCCAAGTACCACACCCGTGCTGGGCCCTGAGTGGGTACCTGCCCGGGCAGCGCCGCCCCCGGGAGCCTAGAGTCGTGGGGAACGTCGCTCAAACTGGGCATTTCCAGGACACAGTGACAAGTGCTGGGATGAGAGGCCTTGGGAGCAGAGAGCAGGGACTCAATCCTCTGTGCGGGGCATGGGGTGGACACCTGGGCTTTCTGACAGCAACCAGGTGGGGGCATGGTCAGAACTGACCAGAGGAACGCAGGGAAAGGCAGGTGACTGCTACTGCCTTTCCGGTCCCACAGGAAGGCTGGTGATGCAATTCTCGGCGTGGACCGGGGAGGAAACCGACATGGGAGAGCTGTTGAGCAGGCAGAGGGAAGGGCTGGTGTTCCCCTAGCCAAGATAGACACACACACACACACACACCCTGCTTCACAGCTGTGTGGCGCTGCCCAGCGCTCATTCCGGCTGTTCTGCCTTTATCGGGGCCATTTTTTCGACCCCACCCCACCACTTGCCCACCCTCTCCCATCATTTCTGCCTCTCTGGGTCATTCTGTCTTCCCTCCCAAATACACCGTAAGCGACAGATGGTCTGCACCTTCCTGTTGGAGGCAGTGAAACCCTTCCATGGAGACATGTGACACCACCTCTGGGCAGCCCCACAAGCCTCAACATTCCCCTATGAACAGCACCAAGAAGGGGGAAGCTCAGTGCTGTTTCAACCCATCGGAGCCAGCTTTGGATGCTGGATGGTGTCTGG